TTTTATAGCCTACTAGGTCCTTAAATCAAGCTAGACTTCCTTGATAGCCTCTCCCTCTTTCCCCCCATATCCCATGTTGTCATTGGCCACGTCTTCCAACTGATACTATATCCTCCCCTTCTAATCAATGCCCAGAGATCAACAGGAAAGCCAGTTGGAGATTAACCACTTGAGTCATTCTGTTTTTATAGTTGTTTCATCTTCAGAGAGATGAGTGGTTTTATTTTGCCATAACATCCAGCAAGATTGGCCATTGGGGCCTTATGACCTCCGTGTCATTGCTAAGAAGATGCCAGTGGTCTCCTATCCCTTAAGGGTGCTCTCTGTGAGTTTAGAGGTGTTTGAGCAATTTGGACTTAAAAGTGGATCTGGAACATAGCAAGAATGAGTTCTTAACCCAGTAGCCATCAGTTCTTGCAAGTTCATTTAGAAAATGTACTATTTTCAACAGCTTTAGTACCCCAGGGACTCGACTCTTCTTGCCCAGATTTTATAGTGGCGCCAGTTCAGCATCTGAGGCCAGGCTTGGAGTGGTTTTGAAGAGAAGCTTTGAACACAGGCCAGGGACTCCTGGTTCTATTGAATGTCTTTCTAGCTACTGCAGATACACAGTGCTGGGGTTTTTTTTGGTTTTTTTTTTTTTTTTTTTTGCAAATTTCTCTAGAAGCAATCTCAAATTACTGATGCCCTTTTCTGTCCCTTTCATGGATAATATTATGGGAATCATGCATTTAGGCCCAGTGATGAAAGCTGTCAGTTTATATTCATATAGCACTTTCCTCTTTCATCATTAACCTTGTGATTCGAATCCCTGTCAGGGAGACTGAGCTAAAGTTAATGGCTTTGTCTAAGGCCCAGGTAGCTGTGTAAGTAAGTTATGTTTGTTGTTGTTGTTGTTAAGTGCCATCAAGTCAGTTCATAGCAACCCTGTACATGGTTTCCAGGGAACAACTGGTGGATTTGAACTGCCGACCTTTGTGGTTTGCAGTCTACACCAGGAGTCTAAGAGTTATCTTTAGGCCTCTGTTTTTAGCTCAGGGTCTGAACTCTTGCCCCATGTGCTCATCAGAGCTCACCACCTTGCTCCAGGAAAGAGTTTGACACAAATCCATTCATGTGCCCATGACCTAGCCATGATCTGTGGCCCTGTGGAGCTTGGCTGTGGTCAGGAACAGAAATCAGCTTACTTCTCTGACTCTTAGGAGGCAGAGTAGCAGGGAGATGAGTGATGATGAAACTGGGTTTCAGATCAATTTCATCTGAAAACCAGTGATATAAGCTGGTGGTGCCAAGAAGCAACTGGGAGGAAATTATAATGATCTGCCCCAGGGCTTACTCCATGACTCAGAAGGCTGCTCCTGTTCCTACAGGTGCCTCAGTAAGTTTCCCTAGGCAGGTCATCTTGTCTGTAAGACCTCCATCATCTGCCTTACCCAATAAACCACAGAGCACACCACGACAAAGTAGCCTTTTCCAAGAACAGACTGAGCCAACTCCCTATTACGCCCTTTGGGCCTATGTCTCTCCCTCTCCTTTGGGTGCTTTTGTCCCTCAAGTGAAGCATATGGCTGTAGCCTACTCCCTATCCACTTTGAGGCTTGTTTCTTTGTTGTGTAGAGAGACCAAACCTGGAATCAGAAAACCTAGGTGAACTGTGTATATGCCAAAGGCACTTTATATTAAAGGCTTGCTCTGGGCTGTGCAAAAGAAAAAGAAAAAAAAAGATCCCATTTAATCTTCCCAATAACTTTATGACATTATTCTCATTTTCCAGATGAGGAAACTAAGTTTCCATCTTGCTCACACAATTTGTGCAGTCCTGTAAGTGGCATTATATTAATTTGAGTCAAAGTCTTTGGATTGCAAATCTCAAATACTTAATCACCTACTTTGCCTTCATGATTCAAAACTGGGGTTTGCTGCTTCCTAGCTGTGGGCTCTTACATGCATTGTTTCCTAAGCTGTCAGATGTGTGATTTTGGCTAAGAAAGCACTTAGCTAGGTGTCTCTGGAAGAGTAGGGTTTGAAGCTTGCTCCTGCTTGCCTGGATCCATTCCTCTTGCTTGTGTTCTACATCCAGCTGAATGTGGGTTAGAACTGATAGAGCCACACCCTCTGGTGCAACTGGAATTTGGGGACTGTGTGGAGGCACATACTACCATAGTGCGTGACTACTGCCTTCCCTGAGATCCTTGGCACTGCCCCCTGTAAAAATAGATGGACAGTCTAGATACTATGCTACAACTGTTTGGAAGTGATGAATGAATGTATATTAAGAGAAAACTTGGGCCTACTGAAAACTTGGGCACCTGGTTATTCCTCAGAGTGGTAACTTTGTGTTTTAACACTGAAAAGGTCTTTTGCAGCAGATTTGCTCAATGAAATATATTGTTTTGTTTGTGGTGTTGTAAGTTAATGCGCTGGACTGCAAAGTCAGTTTGAACCACAAGGTCAACGGTTCAAGCTCACCAGCCACTCCTCGGGAACCCTATACAGGGTCACTATGGGTCAGAACCAACTAGAGAAATAGATGAACAATACTGGTAATTCCAATCATTGGGAAAGCTCATTTCCTTCCAGTCTTTTTTCTGGACAAAGTTACATCTCCTACTGCATTATGCACATACTATATATGCATTCTGTGTTCTACTTGCTTTACCTCATAGCATAAGAACTTCCCTGGACCCTTTGAAAAGAGTCTTATAAATAACACTTCAGACAACTGAGTAAATAGCTCATGGAGTGAGTGAACTACAGCTTATTTAACTTTTGCCTTCAATTTGAGATGATTTAACCTCCTGGTCCTTCTAGTTGTTAAGGCAAAATAAGACTCCTCAGAAGAGTTTGCAAAGATGTGTGCTGGAGGTAAAGGACAGAGCCACCCTGGGGATCTTGTGGCTCCTGGGATCTGCTGGAGCTGAATCAGGCCTAGATCCCCCACCCCCACCCCCACCCCGCCCCAACTGGCCAAGCTTGCCACAAGCCGGGACTCCTCAGCGGGGAAGTTGTCATGGAGGCAGAGCTGGTTTCTAAGCAATCTCCTCTTTCTCACAGGCACATTCCAACCTCCACAGCCAGTTATGCTGGGAGCTGGGGTTCCTGAAGGGCTGAAAGCAGAGGCTTGTGGGGAAGATACTTTAAGCCTCTTCTGCCCCCTTCTGGTCACTCTCCCCAGAAGACAGCCAATGTCTGAATTTCTTGGGTTAATGCGCTGAACTGCAAGGTTGGTTTGAACCACAAGGTCGGCGGTTTAAGCTCACCAGCCGCTCCTTGGAAAATCCTATACGTGGTCATTGTGGGTCAGAACTGACTCAATGGCATTTAACAGCAACAGCAATTTAGTTTTGTCTGTTTTTGAACTTCATGTCAACAAAAATCATATGTCTGTTCTGTCTTGTTTCTGCCTTTTGTTATCCAGCCTTACACTTGTAAGATTCATTCATGATCTTGCACATGCTTGGTTGTTGATTCATTTCATTGTGTGCATCACCATTTCTATCTATTGTATCTTGATGGACATTGAGCTGTTTCTAGTTATTATGAATAGTGCTGTTATGAACTTTCTAATGGGTATCTTTGAGTGAATGTACTTTGTTGAATGTGTATATCAGCATGGAATTGCGGAGTCTTGGAGAATGTATGTATTTAAGTTTTTTTAAAAATAATACTTTATTGCAATTTTGGTAAATGTTTACACAGCCATTTAACAATTTCTCCACAGTCGTTTAAGCCATTCAACAATTTCTACACATATGATTCAATGACGTTGGCTACATTCTGTATATTCAGTTTGTATACATACGGTCAAACATTTTTCCAAAGTGATCATACTATTTTATATTCCCATGTCATACTTCTACCATTTGATATCAAACAAGGGGATATCAGAAACGTCATGTGAAAATGGAATTAAGAGATAATGGAATTTTTCCATCAACGTTTTGAAACCCTTTATACTTGTTTGCATTATCTGTATACTTCATCATTTCACATTACTTTCGTAACTAAAAAAACAAAACTTGTCAGTTAGCCTTTATATGATAGAAAACTTATTTTTATAATGAAGTAATAATAAAAATCAGAGACTAAATGATAGCCTTTCCAATAAAGGAGAGCTGGGAGACCTTACCCCAACATTTACACGTACACAGCACTGTCCTTGTGGTCCTTGTTTATCTACAGCAAACTGCAGCACTAGTGTCTGGGCTGGAATTAAAGGAAGCACTGGTCTGGAGCATAGTGCTGATGGGGCAGGACCCCCAGGGTGGGGCCCCTGGTGGGTCCCTTGATTTCATGCTGTGGCTGCCAGGAAGGGCAGTTAAGAACACTGGTACTCCAGCATGTCTTGGAATCAGGCAGACCTGGCTTCTGAACTTCCTCTGCTTATCTTTGAAAGGGAACTACTCCTTGCCTGGATAGGGTAGTTGTAAGGATAAAATGAGATCAATCTCTGGCTGGGCAAGTGGTAACTAACTCACAGCACTCGTTCAAAGGGTGGTCAAGCTGTGGGGGATTCAGAAGGAGTGTGACAAACTGAAACGGCTTGAGGTTGTCCAGAGTAGTCTGTGTGCACAGTGTATGTAGGTGGATTCGTGGCCTTCAGAAATGCTGCAAATCTTCTGCCTCCAGCAGTGACCTAGAGTCAGCCCTATGTCTCATAAGGCTACCAGGGACAAATGTCACTGAATATCTATGATCTTGGTTCTCTGTCCTCATAAATAATGAGAGGGAGTTGTGCTCACATACTGACCACAGAGTGACCCTCACTCTCAAAGTCAAATTTGGATGCCCCACCTGGAACTTGTTTGGTCAGCAAGTGTAGGACTCCAGGTCACACTGCTGGCCAGAGGAAGTAAGTAAGCCAAATCCTTTTTCTGCAACTTTTTGGTTACAATCCTTAGTTGAGCCAGGGACTCTTAGCAGGTCTGGTTTCCCCTAGAGTAGTTTCCAGAAGTTCCTTCCTAATATCCTTTTCTTTTTTTTCCCTTTGCTCACGGTAGTTTTTACGCGCTGCCCTGGACAAGAGTCAGCCCTGCTTCGCACTGATGATGACAACTTCACTGTGCTGAACGACGGAACTGTTCAAGTGAAACACCATGTCCACCTGCAGGATGGGAGGACGTTCTCTGTGCATGCCCAGAATGCTGATGGCCAGGAGTCGCTGATCTCTGTGACTGTAAAGAGCCAAGTTAAGCCTTCAGAGGAGGTACTGTTGTCCTGAGTTCTCTCCACAGTTATGAGCCTAGGAACTGATCTATAGCGTAGCATTTGCTCAGACCCAGAGGGGCTGCCAGAGAATTAGGGCACTGGGACAAAGAACTGCACTGTAGGAAAGCTTAGTGCCTTTATTACCTTGGATCTCCTGTCTCACCTCCTTCTCCTCACCTCCCATGTCATACAGGTTAACCTCAATTGAAGGCAGTTCTAACATAGGACTCCCAATGTCATGAGTCTCTAGAAAGATGGGCCTTAGACACTTGTAAAACTTCTTTGTTCTTTTGTTGTTGTTGTTTTTTGGAGGGCTGGAAATATATACAACAATGCATACACCCATTTGATAATTTTTGCATGTATAAGTCATTGACAGTGGTTGCATGCTTCACTTTGGGTCCCCATTCTCCCCATCTCCCATATTGTCTCACCACATTAAATTAGACTCTCTGCTCCTTCGCGTTCTCATTTATGCTTTAGAATGACTGTCGTCCATTTCATCTTATATAAATAATTCTTTAAAAGGAGCATAAATGCTCAAGGCAAACATCCTTTATTAAGTGAGTTAAATTGTTTCTTTGAATATAATTTTCTGACTAGTTAATATATCCACATGGTTTAAACATTTTAAATATTAAAAAGTTATATAATGAAAGACCTCTCCTTGCCTGTTTTCATCTATCCAATTTCCTCCCCACTCCTCCAAGAGAAAACACAGATAACCACTGTTAGTGGTTAATCTTTCCTTCTAGATTTTATTTTATATTTATCAATGCAGATATAAAAACAGACTCTATTCCTCTCCTCCTTTTGTGCAAAAGCTAACATACTAGTCCTATGTCTGTACCTCTTTATACTTAATATAGCTCTACAGTTTCTACCCCCTCCTCACAGGTAACCACTGTTTGTCATTTTTACTACATTCTCACAGACTTTATCTATATATAAGCAAACATGAAAAGCGTCTTTATTTTTATACCTTATTATACAAAAGGTGGAACAATGCCCAGCACAAATTAAGCACTGTATTAAGCTGTCCTGTATCTTGCTCTTTTCAGCAACATGATAGCAAAGAATTTTCCATGCCAGCACATAGAGACTTTTCTAGTTCCTCATTTTTGTAACTACATAGTATTCCACTAGATAGATGTACCATTGTTAGGTGCCATCAAGTTGGTCGCGATTCATAGCCACATTATGTACAACAGAACGAAACACTGCCTAGTCCTGAGCCAATCTCACAGACTTTGTTATGCTTGATCCCACTGCTGCTGTTACTGTACCATTCCATCTAATTGGGGGTCTTCCTCTTTTTCACTGACTCCACTTTACCAAGCACGACGTCCTTCTCCAGGGATGGTCCCTCCTGATAGTATGTCCGAAGTATGAGAGACATAGTCTGGCCATCCTGGCTCCTGAGGAACATTCTGGTTGTACTTCCTCCACCACAGATTGTTTGTTCTTCTGGAAGCCCATGGTACTTTTAATATTCTCCTCTAGCACCATAACTCAAATGCATCAATTCTTCTATGGTCTTCCTTATTCATTGTCCAACTTCACATGCATATGAAGCTACTAAAAATACCATGTTTTGGATCAGGAGCACCTTAATCCTCAAACTGGCATCTTTGTTCTTGAACACTTTAAAGAGGTCTTGTGCAGCAAATTTGCCTAATGCGGTAATACATCTTTTGATATCTTGACTGCTGTTTCTGTGAGTGTTGATGGTTGATCCTAGCAAAATGAAGTCTTTGACAACTTCAGTCTTTTCTCCATTTTTCTTGCTATTATTTACTGGCCAGTGGTGAGGATTTTTGTTTCCTTCAGTGCAACCAATACTGAAGCCTGTTGTCTTTGATATTTATCAGTAAGTATTTTGAGTCCTCTTTGTTTTCAGCAAACAAGGTTGTATCATCTGCATATTGCAAGTTGTTAATGAGTCTTCCTCCAATCCTGATACCATGTTCTTCTTCCTATAATCCAACATCTTGGATTATTTTCTCAGCATACAGATTGAATAAGTATGGTGAAAGAACATGCTTTCTTTCCTGATTTTAAACCATTCATTGTCCTCTTGTTCTGTTCAAATGACTGCCTCTTGGTCTATGTACAAGTTCCTCATGAGTGCAATTAAGTGTTCTGAAAACTCATTCTCCACAATGTTCTCTATAGCTTGTCATGATCCACATAGTCGAAAGCCTTTGTGTAGTCAATAAAGCACAGGTAAACAGCTTTCTGGTATTCTCTGCTTTCAGCCAAGATCCATCTGGTGTCAGTAAAGATATTTCTTGTTATTCATCCCCGTTCAAATCTGGCCTGGATCTATGGCAGCTCCTTGTCAATGTACTGGTACAGCCATTTAAAAATTATTTTTAGCAAAATTTTATCTGTATGCAATATTAATGATTCTGTCCAATGATTTCCACATTCTATTGGGTTATCTTCATTCTTCTTTGAAGTTGTCAAGGACTTCATTCTTCTTGGATCAACTATCAACACTCGCGGAAGCAGCAGTCAAGAGATCAGACGACGTATTGCAATGGGCAAATCTGCTGCACAGGAACTTTTTAAAGTATTGAAGAGCAGAGATGTCAGCTTGAGGACTAGGGTGAGCCTGACCCAGGCCATTGTGTTTTCAATAGCCTCATATGGATGCGAAAACTGGACAGTGAATAAGGAAGATCGTAGAAGAATTGATGCCTTTGAGTTGTGGTGTTGGAGGAGAATACTGAAAGTGCCATGGACTGCCAAAAGAACCAATAGATCTGTTTTGGAAGAAGTGCAACCAGAGTGCTCCTTGTAGGCCAGGATGGCTAAGCTTCGTCTCTCCTACTTTGGACATATTGTCCGGAGGAAACAATCGTTGGAGAAGGATGCCATGTTGGGTAAGGTGGAGGGTCAGAGAAAAAGAGGAAGCCCCCTAACGAGATGGATTGGCCAGGTGGCATCATTGATGGCGTCAAGTGTGGCAGCGGTAGTGAGGTTGGCCCAGGATCGGACATTGTTTCATTCTGCTGTGCATGGGGTCACTATGAGTTGGTTCCGACTCGATGGCACCTGACAACAACAACAACAACATCTCTCTTTGGAATGGGCACAAATCTCTTCCAATCAGTTGGCCAGATAGCTGTCTTCCAATTTCTTGGCATAGATGTTGCCACAGTTTGTTGAAAGATTTCAATTTGTGTTCCATCAATTCCCAGAGCCTTGTTCTTAGCCAAATGCCTTCAGTGTATCTTGGACTTCTTCAGTGTCATATGCTGCCTCTTAAAATGATTGAACATCGACCATTTCTTTTTGGCATGGTGACTGGATATTCCTTCCATCTTCTTTTGGTGCTTTCTGCATCATTCAGTATTTTTCCCATAGAATCCTTCAGTATTACAAGGCAAGGCTTGAATTTTTTTCTTCAGTTCTTTCAGCTTGAGATATGCTGAGCATATTCTTCCCTTTTGTTTTTCTAGCTCCAAGTCTTTGCACATTTCATTATAGTATTTGACTTTGTCTTCTCGAGCTGCCCTTTGAAATTTTCTTTTCAGTTCTTTTACCTCATTATTTCTTCCATTTGCTTTAGCATCTCTACAGTGGAGAGCAAGTTTTAGAGTCTCTTCTGAAATACATTTTGTCTTTTTCTTCTTGTTTTCTTAATTACCTCTCTGTCTTCCTGTATAATATTCTTATGTCATCCTACAACGCTTCTGGTCTTTGGTCAGTAGTGTCTAATTCATCAAATCTGTTCTTGAGTTGATCTCCAAATTCAGGTGGGATATGTTCAAGGTCATATTTTGGCTCTCATGGACTTATTTTCATTTTCTTTAGCTTCAGCCTGAACTTGTATATGAGCAGTTGATGGTCTGTTCCACAGTCTGCCCGTGGTCTTGTTTTGGCGGATGATATGGAGTTTTCCCTCCAACTCTTTCCACAGATATAGTCAAGTTGATATCTGTATATTTCATCTGGTGAGGTCCATGTGTGTAGTCTTCTATTATGTTGCTTAAAAAAGGTATTTACAATGAAGTCATTGATCTTATAAAATTCAATATGTAACCTCCAGCATCGTTTCTGTCATCAGGGCCATGTTTTCCAACTACTAATCCTTCTTCTTTATTTCCAACCTTTGCATTCCAGTCACCAGTAATTATCAATACATCTTGATTGCATTTTTTAAGCAATTTCAGATTGAAGAAGTTGATAGAATTCTTGAATTTCATCATCACTGGCTTTAGTGGTTGGTGCATACATTTGAATAATAGTTATATTAACAGGTCTTCTTTCTAAGCATATGGACATTATCCCATCACAGGCAGCATTTTACTTCAGGATGGATCTTGAAATGTTCTTTTTGATGATGAATGTGACTCCTTTCCTCTTCCATTTGTCATTCCCGGTGTAGTAAACAGTGTGATTGTCAGATTCAAAATGGCCAATACCAGTCTATTTCAGCTCACTAATGCCTAGGATATCAATGTCTATATGTTCCATTTCAGTTTTGACAGCTTTCAGGTTTCCTAAATTCTATGCTCCTATTATTAATGGATGTTTACAACTGGTTCTCATCACTTTGAGTTGTGCCCGATCAATAAATAAAGGTCCCGAAAGCTGTATTTCATTTGTGTCATCACAGTCAACTCTACTTTGAGGAGGCAGCTCTTCCCCAATCGTATTTTGAGTGCCTTCCAACATGACAGACTCATTTTCCTGCACTATATCTGACAATATTTTGGTGTTCTTCATCATGTTTCAATATTCAGTATTCTGGTGCTGAGAGTATCATGCTGCTATTCATAAGGTTTTCAGTGACTAAATATTCAAAAATAGTCCATCTCTCCTTCTTCCTAGTTTGTCTTAGTCTGAAAGCTCAATTGTCCACTATGGGAGACCCTGCTGGTATTTAAAATTCTAGTGGCATAGCTTCCAGAATCACAGCAACACGCAAGCCACCACAGCACAACAAACTGACAGACAAATGATGGAGACATACCAAAGTGTGCTTAATCAGTCCAAAGGAGCCTGGTGGTGTGGTGGGTTAAGCACTGGACTGCTAACCAAAAGGCCAGTGATTTGAACCTACCAGCCACTTTACAGTAGAAAGCAGCATGCTTCCATAGAGAATTTCAACCATCTAGGTCTTTCTCCTCAACTTTAACTCCTGTAGATGAGGGGATGCTGGGGTGTGTTCCTGATGTTTGCACATCTGGGTTAAGGGGGTCTTTTCTTCTTTCAGGAGACATTGCAGACATTGAAGAACTCTCTATCCAAACGTATCTTACGAAGACGCAAGAGAGAATGGGTGGCTCCACCTCTGTATCTCCTTGAGAATGGCAAGGGTCCCTTCCCCCAGAGGCTGTATCAGGTGCGACTATGCCTACTTCCTGGGAATCAATGAGAACTTCAGGGACTCTATCCACAAGCTGAATTTGTAGTTTCTCACCACTTGGCCTGCAGAGGAACTCCTCGGTCATGGGGCAGGGTCTGACAAAGCTTCTGCCACCACAGAGGGTTCTTTACCTCAATTGTGAGGCATTTGTCACTTTGTCAGTTGCTACTTTCTTTTTGCTTCTAGCTCAAATCTAATAATGACAGAGGCACCAAGATTTTCTACAGCATCACAGGACCTGGGGCAGATAGTCCCCCTGAGGGTGTCTTCACCATAGAGAAGGCGAGTGGCTGGTTGTTACTGAATAATCCACTGGACCGCGAGAAAATTGCCAAGTATGAGGCAAGTAGGCTTTAGCATCCAATGTAAGTCAGGACCATAAACACAGGGCTCTAATTAGGAGTAGAGAAGGCTGACTGATACCAGACTTATATACCCACAGCTCTTTGGCCATGCTGTGTCTGAAAACGGTGCCTCAGTGGAGGAACCTATGAACATCTCCATCATTGTGACAGATCAGAATGACCATAAACCCAAGTTCACCCAAGAAATCTTCAGAGGAAGCGTCTTAGAGGGGGCACTACCAGGTAAGATTATTGGAGAAGAGACAGCTGTGGATGTGCTGGGCCCAGACTTGGCCTTGCGTTGAGTTCTGGAACCATCTGGAGGTCAGCCTAGACCCTTAAAGGCTGGAAGAACTCTCTGTACCTGATATCCTTGGTTGTGCATCAGATCTTCTAGATTCCCCACTCCCTCTCAAAATTCCTAAACCAGAGTGATCCTGCAGCAGAGCTTTGGAATCTGTTCTGTATATTTTTAAATGTCCCAGAAGATTCAGATGATCAACCAGATTAATGAACCACTAGCTTCATAGCTGCAAAGACCTAGATTTGAATTTTGACTTTGCCTGTTTACCAGCTATGACTTGGGCAAGTTCTTGACCCTTGAGAATCAACTCTCATATCCAAAAATGGGAGTAATATTTACTACCTTGAGTGATAGAAATAGCATGTGAATTCTGTTATTTAATATAAGCAACTATAAGGAATGTACAAAGGCTAGGAGGTGTTAGAATGTAGTTTTTAAGAGATTTCAAAGTAAATTGCCATGGTTGTATAAGAGGTTGACAGAGGACAGCAGAAGACTTGGGAAGTAGGTGTATTTCAATGATCTCACAAAGACAGGTGTTGGTGGAGAGTGTTTCTCCTCTTCCTTCCTCTCTGAGTTTTAGAGAACTACTGGTAAGTGAATTCGTTCGGTTGCTAATAACAGAAACCCACACAATTGAAACAAGTGCCTTAAAAAAGATGGATACTTTCTTCTTCTTTTCCTTTTTCTTATATTCACGATGCCTAGAGGTAGTCAACCCAAGGTAACATAGAGATTCATAATGTTTTGAACCTAGGTTGGAAACCTAGTACCTTTGGTGAAGTAGTGGACTCGCTTGGGTGGAATGGCTCCTTTAATCTTGTTGCTTTGTTATTTTGGCTTCAAGGTTATCTCAAGGTGGTTGCTTCTGGAGCTCCAGCCGTTATGTCTGGAAGAAGGGACGAAATGGGAAGAACATCCCCATGCTTGCAAAATCACTTCCCCCAATCAGTTCCTACCCAAAGTTCTCATTTTCAGAATTTGGTCTCATGGCCGCAGCTATACCTGCAAGAGAGGCTTGGAAATAGTTTTTATTCCCGATGGGCCTGTGCCCAGCCTAAAATGAGGATTCTGTTTCTAAGGAGGAAAGAAAGAATGGACAAATGGGCACCAACTAGCAATCTCTACCACAAAATAGCAGATAAGTCCAAGTCAGTGGGCAAGGAGGAGCCTCTCAGAGTTACAGAAGTGGGCAGGGCTGGACTTAGAGTTAGGAGAGAGGGTACCACTCATCCCTTCTCCTTCCAGGCACTTCTGTGATGCAGGTGAGAGCTACGGATGAGGATGATGACATCCAGACCTACAATGGGGTAGTTGCTTACTCCATCCATAGCCAAGAGCCAAAAGACCCACACGACCTCATGTTCACCATCCACCGGAGCACAGGCACCATCAGCGTCATCTCCAGTGGCCTGGACCGGGAGGTGAGTGGCCTTGAGAGAAAGCGCTGCCTATCCAGGCTTGTCTGGGTTGGGGGTCTGACGCTCAATGCAGAAACCCCTGTCTCTGCTTTCGAAGCCCTTGGAAGAGCACTGGGGACCCAAGTCAGCTAGGAATGGCTGCTGCTATGTTCACATGCTGATGTCCCATGGCTCCACTGGGCTAATGGCTCGCTGCCAAACAATCTCTTTTAGTCTCCTCCGAGGCTAAGGAGGCAGCTATAAAATGCAGACGTTTGGGGTTTTTTTTGTAGGTTTTCTCATTTCCTCTTGGAATGGCTCACTTAGTGTGCACATTGCCCAGATTTGTCCCTTGTGTGCAACAAAGTAGAATTAGCTCCATGGATATTGAAATTGCCTCTGTTTCCTAATTAATACCTTTGCCAAATTCCCCACTTGAAATTTCCATTCTGGACTAGCCAGGGGTCAGGGGATAGGCCCAGGAGAACATCTACTCTACCACCTTCTGCTCCTGTTCTTTCTGGCAGTGGGGAGGGATAGGATAAGAAGCCCGGAAAGCATCCAGAGAGCAGAGATGAGAAGCTGTGAGAAATACTCTTTCACACCCAGTTCTCTGGGAGCCCAGACTAGGCTTCTGCTCTGTTCTTTCTCCCCAGAGAGTACCTGAGTATACATTGACCATTCAGGCTGCCGACATGGATGGAGAAGGCTCCACTACCACGGCCGTGGCAATGGTGGAAATCCTTGATGCCAATGATCATGCACCTACATTTGACTCCCAGGAGGTAATGACCCTTCTCCCTGTTCAAATCATAAAGGCTCTGGGGAAGGGAAGATACAACACAAGGAGCCCTGAGCTTACATTAAGAGTTCACGTCATCATATCAACTATACATGTGAGGAGTTTTGGAATGACAAATGTTTAATTACTTAATTTGTTGTTGTTGTTAAGTGCCATCAAGTCGGTTTCTACCCATAGTGACCCTGTATAGGGTTTTCTAGGAGCAGCTGGTGAGCTTGAACTGCCGACTATGCAGTTCAATTAATTTACCCCAATTTGGAAAACATGATTGAAAAAAAAAAAAAAAAAGCAGGGAACACACACTTTTTTTAAGGATTAAGTTACCTTTTGTTGCATAGAGAATGGATTCCTGGTGTGGTGTCGCAGGATAAGCACTCAACCACAAGGTCAGTTTGGACCACAAGGTTGGCAGTTCAAACTCACCAGCCATTCCTCGGAAAACCCAGTACACGGTCGCTATGAGTCGGAACTGACTGCCCAACGGTGCTTAAGAACAGTAACATAGAGAGAATAAATCGTTTAATGCAACACTGTTATTCACATATGAAATACCCCATATAGGGTTTCTGAGGCTTTTAAATCTTTGCGAAAACAGAAAGACTCATCTTTCTCCTGCTGAGCTGCTGGCAGGCTCAAACCGCGGACCTTGTGGTTTGTATTCCAGTGTTTATCACATATTGATATAAAACAGAATTACAATTTTTGAGACTGAAATTTAGAATAAATATATTTTCAGTTTTAAGAAAGTAAGGGACAAAGGGTTTTTCTTCCTTAGGAAACTCTGAAACCAGCCTGCGTTTGGTTCAAGTCCCAGCCTTATACTACTAGCTGAGGCTAGCTACTTAACCTCTCTGGGCCCCATTTCTGAATATGTAAGATAGAATAAAAATAATAGCTACTATACTGTTCCTAGGAGCTCTAGTAGCGTAGTGGTTATGAATCAGGCTGTGAACCGCAAGGTCAGCAGTTTGAAACTACCAGCTGTTCCGTGGGAGGAAGATGAGGCATTCTGTTCCCGTAAAGATTTGCAGCCTCGGAAACCCTGTACAGGGTCACTATGAGTCAGAACCGACTATAAGGCACACAGCCTCTACCACCATACTGTTCTTGAGTTTTAAATGAGATAGTCTATGCAAAGGTCTGAACACATGTCATGATGTATAGTAAAGATTCTGTACAAAAATTCTTATTGGTTTGAAAATTTTTAATGTACCTCACCCACCTTCCTTCAACAAATGCTTGTATACCTTTAGTGACAGAGGAATCAGTGTCATGCAAAGTGTAAAGCCCCCTTCAGGCTTTACACAGCTCTGGCCACTGAACATTCCTGAAGAGCAGCTGCTTTCCCAGCCTTTGCCACTTGTCCCAGAACCACTACAGAAAAGGTTCTGAGTTAGGCACGTTGCCCTACCTGCCACCTTCCTTACGTCTTTCTCATCTCCCTAGCTAGGTGGTTCCATGTGGCAGAGAGAACCCTCTGTGCACATCAGGCCCTGTGTGTAGGCCAGGCAAGGCCAAGATTGATGTGGGCTGGCCAGAGCTATGGACTGGTACTTGGGACATTCTGTATCTGACAAACTGAGAAGCGGGTTGGGCAGTCCAGGAGACAGTGAGGGGCATGGGGTTCCCTGGAGTTGGACGAGGATTCACAGCCACAGTGGGGAGAACAGTCTCTGGATGGTTAGCCTCTTAACACTGAGAGTGCTGTGCTTCCCACATTGACAGTATGAGACCCGGGTCCCCGAGAACGCAGTGGGCCATGAGGTGCAACGACTGACAGTGACTGATTCAGACATCCCCAACTCACCAGCATGGCGTGCCATCTACCACATCATGGGAGGTGATGACGGGGACCATTTTACCATCACCACCCACCCCGAGAGCAACCAGGGAATCCTGACAACCAAGAAGGTGAGTCCATTTTGACTTAGACAGGGCCCACTCTAGGGTAGCTGGCCAGCAGCTTACAGGACAAGAAAACCACAACTGCCCTCACCACCTTGGAGCATTCACCAGGGAGTGCAGCAAGCCAATGACTTCCAGCATTGCCCTGCCCCCTCATGTTGGAGAGCTCTGTGTTCAAATGAAATCTGTTATAGACTTGGTGAAGGGAAAGGCAATGTGCAGTAAGAGAGAAGTTGGTAAAAGAATGATGGAGGTGTGAGAAGACGTGGGGGGAATAGCAAGAGTCCAAGGCCACAGAGATAATTACTGTTTTGTAACAACAGTGATATACGAGTACAGTATAGTGGTTACAAATCAGGTTACAAACCGCAAGGTCAGCAGTTCGAAACTACCAGCTGTCCCGCAGGAGAAAGATGAAGATTTCTGCTCCCGTAAAGATTTACAGCCTCAGAAACCCTGTACAGGGTAGCTATGAATCGGAACTGACTCCACAGCACATACCACCACCACCACGAGTAGATACATAGATAGACATGCAGAGTGTCAGAGGGCGAATGAGAGTATTCCCACAAATACATATATGGAGATTTGACAGGCTATCTGTACATGAGCATTTACCATGAATGTGATGGAGCATACAGGGACTACGTTATGGAAACTTAGACATACATAACCAAATACCTTGAGGGAATAAGTCACAGGGCCTGGGGGGCTCAAGATCATAGTCTCTGGGAACACCATGGTCCACAAAAAATAACGTTCTACATCTTACTTTGGTAAGTAGCAACTTGTTGTTGTTGTTGTTGTTAAGTGCCATCAAGTCGGGTCCAACCCATAGCGACCCTGTACAGGGTTTCCAAGGGTGTAAATCTTTACAGGAGTAGAAAGCCTCATCTTTCTCCCGCGGAG